TTACTAGTGTAATCTTTGTTAGTATTAATTTAAAACAACCGAATTTTGTAAAAGCTGTTGGTTTTCTTACAATTAAAAAAAAATCTAACCAAGAACACTATCATTGTTTCAATGATAGTGTTCGATATATACGGGCTCCCTTGATGATGCATCATCACAAAACTGTGAGCTTCACTGGTAGTTTCCGTTATCAGGCGACTAAATGCTGGAATAATATACCTCCGCCAATAAGATTAATCACATGTAGACAAACTTTTAAAATGCATTTGAGATCTAGGTTGCTAAAAAATCAAGTTGCCGGCAATTAGTCGCTTGATGGCGATAGTAATAGTAATATTAACGATCACTCTGTGACTCTGAAGGATCTTGACAAATGAACCGAATTAATAATGGGTATTACTATCTATTTATTTATTTTATTAATCTATATATCTTATACGTTTATCACATTTTTTAGTTAGTAAGTATTTATTAGTAGTGTCTGGTTAGTATTGTAGTTTTTTTATAAATTCTTCAAATTTTTATATTTACAGTGCGACCACGAGTAATTAGGGTAAAAACTGAAAATCAGTGCTTTGCTCTTTGAGTAAATACTCACTGAGTTTTCGCCCATTTGCATCGCTGCGGTACACATAATGTTTGATTGTCCTGTTTTAGTTTCTAATATTGTGTAAAATCCAAATTGTAAAATTTTGTGTATGCACGATGCAAATAAAGAATTTATCTATCTATCTATCTATTTGGCTACTCTACTTTTCTATACTAATATTATGAATAGGAAAGATATGTTATGATTGAATAAGGTGAATAAGGCTCACCTACAGGATGCTACCTCTACCACGATTGCTGTTGCTAGTGCTAAAATATATATGTAGTTTTCAAAAAGTTTTGATGACACAAAGGTTTCTTTATCAAAAAACACGATATACGTCACATGACTCGTCTGCTAATAATTTATGGGACTTATATTTTTTCCATTTCCTACAAACCTCACAAACCATTCCTTCGCAAATGAGATAAACGTCCTCGTGGAGTATTCAGCTTCATGCAAATAATATTAACTCGCGTTACGTCGCCGGCGTGTTACGTTCCGAACAAAATGTAGTGAGTAATTAATTTATGAAAAGAGATTTTAATATGGACGCAAAAAGCGACGGAGCACTTACTGTTCATTATTAAATTGAACGGTTATTAGTGTAATAAAGGGGAGAGGGGATATCGAAAAGCAATATAAAGATAATGTTACAGATGAACGGAAAAAATTGCGTTTGGGGGCTAATTCTCTAATTTTAAAATCTATCGCAATTCCTTTCGACTTGACATTTGAAACATATTCACGAACTTCACGCTACAACTATTTGACAGCGATTGCAAGACGCCACGTTTTTTAATACTTAATGAATGAACGATATCGTCAATTAAAAGTTAATGAGAATTGTCGATGGCAAGCGTTAGACGCAAATATCTTTGAAATCTAATGAGAATATTAAACGAAAAAGTTGATCTTTCCATTGAAGATCTTTCCACGGGTTTAGGTCAGACCATGTGGGTCATACATAAGTCTTGATCATATCATCATAATTCGTTCTAAAAGAGATTGCAAATTTAAAATAAATAAATAAATATTTAACAACATCACATACATTGCTCAGATTCCAAGATGAGTAGCTAAAGCCCCCGTATTATGGAGTATCTGAGACAACGAAGGTACCACAACACCCAGACCCGAGTCAATATAGAAAAGTTCATTTTCTACATTGACCCGACCGGGAATTGAACCCGGGACCTAAGAGATGAAACCTTGATACCGGCGTGCGAACCACTCGGATACGGAGGTCGTCAAAAGTTACATAATTCCATTATTCTTGGCACAATCGCTATACCATTGAAAGGACTGCGATTGATTTTAAAATTAGTACATTGACCCACATTTTCCGTAGTCATTTTTCATCACTCCGTCCACTTTCATCGCACAAAAGCATTCGGTATTAGAGCGCAAGTTGATTTTAAGAGAGTGGTCATGGACTCTACAATGAATTACAAACTCTCTGGTTTGTCTTTAAAAGATCTCTAGTCCAGCAAAAGCTTGTTTTCAAAAAGATAATTCTTAATTTTGAACTATATGTATATGCCCACTGCAAAAAAAAAGATTATGAATTTTCGAAATTCTTTTTACTCGTATTATCACAATAATGGCATTATCCTGTTTCGTCCTCGAGCTACCCTTAAAATGCAACTCGAACCCTCCGGGCAAGAAAAAAAATAGGGATATACAAAACTGCCGGTATTCCGTCTCTTGTATGTGACAAAGAATATCGAGATAGGTAATAAGGATCAATGGCATAAATAGATATCAACGGGTCAGTGGTTTTATGATACCAGTCCAGTGGCGAGGCTATGCGATAACATATACCACTACATAGTATAAAACAAAGTCGTTTTGTCTGTCCCTATACCACTATATATGCTTAAATTTTTAAAATTACGCAACGGATTTTGATGCGGTTTTATTTCATAGATAGGGTGATTCAAAAGGAAGGTTTTTATGTATAATACAAAACCAATACATAAAGCGAAAAGCTAGTATATACCCATATACATTTTCTTGACGAACTATTTTGAAACATTGCTACGAACTCTACAGCTAAAGATTCATACACCTTAGCTGATATATTCACAATCCAAACTATGATAACACCAAAATACTGACCGTCGAAAAATCAATAAACAATAAAATTAGTTTAAAAAAAGAAACATTTAATCGTACTTTATAAAAAAATACAAAGGCCATATTTCTTTGTTTTTTTTTTATTATTTTCGTTTAGCAACAGTAAAAATACTAAACGCAACGTGATGAAAATGATTAATGTGAGCCTATGAGCGAAAGGGGCCGCTTATTTCGTTCAAAGCCGGACACCAAAAGGTCCATTTTTCGGCACGTGACAAGCAATAAAAATGTTTTATTTGATACCCCGCTCGTGTTTGCGAGTTTGTTTTTAATATGTTTTGTATCGTTCACTTTATAAAGGGTATATAGGGGAGGGGGGGAGCTCAATTCATTCAGTTTCAACAAATAAAAACTGCGATTTCTCATTTATTGGTCCAATTTTTTGTTCCGAAATAAAAACTATGTTACCTAAATTTTTTAGTCTTGTCGATTCTTGAAATTATAGTAGTTTTGAAAGTAGTCTACGAGAAACGAATATTTAGGGACCAAAGCAAGCATAATGTTTATAGTTAAGTAATGTTTTTAATAATAATTACTGAATATTTCACTTAAAATTGAATAAGAAGAAATTCAAATGTGTTGTTTTTTTTTCTATCTAGAATTTTTAATGAATTGACGTTATGGCTGTGAGAGAACCCTTAGTATTAAATTGAGTTTGTAATAACAGCTTCTTTGAACGTTATTGATTTGCACAAAATCAGTTAAAAGTTAGTAAATTCGGGGTATACGACCTCTTAATTATATATTTTATGTTTTCACATATTTCAGACTTTTCAGATCATTCTTAAAGACGGCATAGTGAAACTTAATATATCTAAAATAATTTTAGAACAATGAATATATTCACAATTTCGAAGCCGATTAAGTTATATATTATTTATTGGTAGAATATTCTTATTCCTCTTTGAAAGACATCAATCAAGTGTGATATTTATGAGCTTGATTTAAAATCTATATATAGATAATAAAGTTTTTAACTTTGTTTATTTTTTTGTAGGGTGTATTCTTCGGAATTATTGATCACAAGGTACATCATACACGACACGGGTGACATAGGCTATAATAAGTTACGTGGGCAAAGAAAAATAACAAACTGACAAAAAAACGGTACTATATAAAAGTTACAATTTAGTTAAACATTGGTAAATGTGGAGCGTTGACGTATAATTTTTTTAAGATGAAAAGGATAAGTATATATATAAGATTGTGTAGCTCGGTGGCGTAGTGGTTAAGCGCTGCGGCCCGCGATCGTTGTTGTTAAGCAACTTTCGCAAGGGTAGGTCATGGGATGGATGAGCGAAAATTATTATCTCGAGTTACTCCGTGGTTCGGAAGGCACGTTTAGCCGTTGGTCCCGGCTGCATTTGTATTAGAACCCAGATTTTAATACCTTCCAATCCGCTTTGGGGCAGAGTGGAGGGTGATAGTCCATCCTCCTTGACCATCCATAAGGAAGGTCTGAGCCCCTGCAGTGGGCATTCTCCTTAACCATGCACAAGAACGGCCTGAGCCCGTACAGTGGGGACCTAACAGGACTGATGTTGAGTACATAAGATGGTATAGCAAGCGCTCTAGTCTCGTCATCGTCCGCTGTATAACGAAACTTTTACACACAATATAAATTACTATAAAAAATCGCTATACTTTCAGCAAACATAATGTCGACAATTTAAAATAAAGACCAAAATAATTGTGTCGAGTTGAAAATATATTTGTAATCCCAAATATTTGTCATCGTCATTTTGCATTCAAATAATGCAAGATGCTCTTTTGCAAAATGATTAGAGGTAGAAATTATAGATGTAGGATTGAAGAGCACCATTCACTCATCTTTATACGTCCAATAACGATTTCGTCCGCAAAAAGACCTATTTAGCCATCTTGAATAGCATGCAAAAAAAAAAAGATGTAGGTATTTCAAAGACTAAACTTAAAATATTTCACTAAAACATAAAATTGTGTCAAATTTAACAATATCAATTATAGAAGTTCATGTATACAATAAAAACATGACAATTGTGTCAAAACTTCAGAAAATTATTACAGTACAAGTCAATCGATCGAATTAATTAAAGTAAATAATTGAAAAAATAAACGTCAAATAAAATTATAATAATCAAAGTACATAGATAGTTACTCTAACTTCGACAGAAATAGATTAGAGTCAGGGGCATTTACTGTCAAATAACTACGGAGAATAGACAATTCCCTTTTAGCACGTTGCCATCTCAACGTGCTGTTTGCAGTACAAAATTAAATTGGAAACACTTACCTTGGCGAATTCAATTTTGAGTGTGCAGCATCCGGAGTATATGTCGCAGCCGTGTAACGCTTCTTTCGCACGCGTCGCCGACTCCACACTATCGAACTTGTGGCGAGGAGTTAAGGTACAATTTTCATTGAAAATATTGTTAGCATCAAACACGATTGAAAAAAATAATAAAAAGGATTCTAAATAACTACGCCCATTTATCTTATCCCTATGTTTAGGTCATTTAAGTGTAAACGAATCACCGAGGTCTCAATTGGACGTAGTTATTAAAAAAGGATCCAACCCACAAATTGGTCGAAAATGAGTTAAGTATACCAAAATATCCATCAGGATCTAAACTTTCATATAGGAAAAAGCTTTGATCGTTTTTTTCAATGGTAGTTACCATCCCACATCTTTGGTAGGTTCATATTTTAGTTCCATGAAAACGACTTAAACTTCTTGGATCCATATACTCGTAATAAAAAAGCAAATTAGCAAATTAAAGGACTAATCTTGGTTAAAAATTGCAATAAAGGTTTAAAAAGTTTTTGTTTAAAGGTATTTTTTTTAAAAGGTTTATCAAAAGAAAGGTAATTTTAGATAGTGGGAATACATGTGACATTAAAAATAAGTATATAGAACCTTTAATAAATAATTTTTACGATTAAATCTAAGGCGTTTCAGTTAACTATTCTATTATTTTTTAATTTGGATCGTTTTTGAGATTTGTTTTGTAAGAATTAGGTTATTAAAACCTAAACATATCGAAAAGGATCTAAACATACTTTAACCTTTATATTTTAAAAAATATTGTCAGTTCTCTTAAAATGGCATTATAATAAGATAATGTTAGTGGTTTTCTATGCTATTAAATAAAAATATAATACACAAAAATTTTACATCAACATGCAAATACAGCTTAAACTTCAATCGTCTATATCTCAAAAGTAACATTGTGTGGGATGGTTCCTTTTTGATTAACTACGTCCAATTGTGCTATTTTTAACGTAATTAACGCATCTCAACAGAGTCTCAACCACATTTTGTCGTTGTACTGTCTACCTCAAGTCCAATAATATTTATTAGTGCAATGTCTCACATCTCAATGGTGACATATATATTTTTTTTTTATCTAGTAACAAGAACTGTATCATAAAGGGTTGTAGTTGAAGAGCTGTAGACTTTCCATAATAACGTTAACATTACTAGGATTGCCTTGCACATTTCTTGCGGGGTAGAAAGAAAAGAACGAGCACTACAAGACACTGCGCTCACACATAATTACACTTTTCATGCATGCGGTTCTAATGACTTCCGACACTACCTATGAGCAACATACATTACCCGCATGGTCAATCTTAGATCACGCAGTATAAACCTGCCAATTTCGATAGTCACCAAATATGATTAAATTAACAAGAAGTCTTGTTTAAATGGCTAAATTTCCGTCGTAAACTCAAACGTCGAACATTAATCAAAAGTAGTAGCTTTCTACGAAAAGAAGCTCTACCGTACGCTGTTAGTTGGAACTTATTGTACTTGTATATAGAAGCAAAATTTGGATAGTGGTATAAACCTGATGCTAAAGTTATTCAATGTTTTATAACATGATGGTGTGGATTTTATTTTAAATAGTTTTTTAAAATCACTTGGATAGACAAGTGTTAAATTTATCAGTGGGTATGCCGTGCCTTTTTTTTTATTCTAGATAGGCAAGCACTTGACCGCTAATTGACTTTATTATTCACATTTTGTAACCTGAATTGTATAGCACTGGTGATATGATACATAGTATTACGTAGATAGGATTTTTATCTAGATACTAACAATTATAACATCGGAAGATATCTTTTATTTTATGCTATCAACGCTATGCGAAGGGAATAAGAGTGGAGAGTTTTTGTCCTTGTTGCTCATTCGAAGCGTGTGGCGCTTACGGATCGTTCGTATTTAACGTTAAGAGTTTAAGGAGTAATTCATTCCTTGTGAGAAGTTTTCATGAGAATATATTGTTAAAATATTTATTGTTTCAAATTACATTTATTTATGATCTCACATATATTTTTTAATCACTTTCCTTGCATAGGGAGTGGATTCAACTTCCCCGTCAATAATTCTTTCCGTCGACTTTCGTCGAGTGCTTGCCTTGAAATAAGTACACTACAAACCGATTTAAGCTTAAATGAAATATTTAACTTATACTTAAATAAACAAGTATTTTACCATTATAAAAGTATAATACTAGGTATTCAAATAATAAGGATAAAATGAAAAAATATACGGGCAGTGCTAACATACCAAAACCAATAAGGTCTTGCATGCTTACTAAACTAAAAAAAGGAGAACGGTAGGTGCCTAAATAAAACTCACGTGTCCTATATCCCAATTGGCTAGTTACGCTTAAAAAAACATGGATAAGTTAAAACACTCTTGTATCAACCCCTCACGCACGACATACAACATATTAAAACTGTCCACAAACATTTGACCCTTCTATACGCCGTCGGCGAGGACTGGGTTATTCCATCTATTTCATATCAAAACTTCTATTATTATCTTAATATATTCAAAGCCAAGAAGTTCTTAATAAAGTTTAGATTGCGAATGACTCGTCTAAGGAGATAGTCTATTATATAATCACCGAATTGTTTTCCCTGTAACGGTGTGCCATGCCACCGTTTGTTTTCCTAGGTTTCAGTATGCAAACTTTTTGCTTTTGAAATTCAACATCATTTCATTTTACTATTCGTCTTTCGTAATTTAAAATTTTGACTAATCAATTTTACTCTTTATGGATGTCAGTTCGTAAGAAATTCTCCTATACACAAGATGAAATTATAATATAATACAATATTATTGGTATAAATTTTACTATGTAATTTTAATAATTCATATATTATGGTGATACAATAATATAACATATTTACTAAATTAAAACTGTATTTTGTACGATCCAAAAGTGTAACAAGAAGCCCGACAAGGGGTATGTATTCGTTTATTTGATAAGAATGTATTAGTGTAAGTAACTTACGAACTGTTTTTTAAATTTATTTTTGTTTGTTACAGTTTTTTATTATTACCCTTATTTCATCAATAAATTATACTCAAGCTGATCAGCCTATTTAATTGACCCAAGCACCGAACCCGTAACACTGGCGCCCCACGTTGGGCGCCAGTGTTACGGGTTCGGTGCTTCGGTCAATTAAATAGGCTGATCAGCTTGAGTATAATTTATTAAAGTAATAAGGGTAATAATAAAAAACTGTAACAAACAAAATAAATTTAAAAAAACAGTTCGTAAGTTACTTAAACTAATACATTCTTATCAAATAAACGAATACATACCCCTTGTCGGGCTTCTTGTTACACTTTTGATCGTACAAAATACAGATTTAATTTAGTAAATATGTTATATTATTGTATCACCATAATATATGAATTATTTAAACATTACATATTAAAATTTATACCAATAATATTGTATTATATTAGAATTTCATCTTGTGTATATGGGAATTTCTTACGAACTGACATCCATAAAGAGTATAATTGATTAGTCAAAATTTTAAATTACGAAAGACGAATAATAAAATGAAATAATGTTGAATTACAAAAACAAAAAGTTTGCATACTGAAACCTAGGAAAACAAACGGTGGCATGGCACACCGTTACAATACCGGGGGGGCCGGGGTTAAAAAAAAATCTGAAAGATTTTTTTTTTTTTTTAGATATTCTTGGATTACTCAAGCTTAAAATATTTTATATAAAATGTGATTAATTAATGCTATCATGATTTAATTTAGAAATGGGGATGGTATATATAGTGGATAAATTACATTAGGCGATTTCCCTTTCATAAAATGTTCTTACTTCATCATTCAAACATCATTCAAACAATCTTTATCTTATTAAGATAAAAATTCCTAGCAATTAGAGGTAACTTGTATTTAAGAAAGATTATCTCTAATAAATCGACCTAGAAAATAGTGTAGGCTTCTTTAAAATAATGTCAGTCACCACCCGCTGACTTTAGGTGAATTGTGTAGTGTTGTTGAGTGTAGATGAGTGTGTTGTGTAAGTGTCTAAATGTAGAGTGTAGAATAATATACAATCGTAGTAATAAATAAAGTAGGTAATGCGTTAGGTATAACAATACATTATGTAGTGTTAGATAGTAAGTAAATAAGTATACATAAGTACACAAAGAAATATTTTGATATTGGCTTATTTATAGTGTTATCAACCGCACTTTAAAATTGATATTTGACATTGGCTTGTTTATAGTGTTGTCGTCCGCACTAAATTGGTATTTTGACATTGGCTTATTTATAGTGTTGTCAACCACACTAGATGAAAATAATAAATTATGAAGATAATAAAAATAACAATAAGTATGAGTAGCCAAATAATTAAATGAAAACGTTATGAATATTTACAGGGTACTAACAATAAATAAATAAGTAATAATTGGTAACAATAAATAGATTAATAATATTTAGATATGGGTTTAATATTTTGAATGTGCCAGCGTCCTAAAGGTTTATTTGACAAATCTGCTAAATCGTAAATTAATGGACTGACTTTGTTAGTTATAATACATTTTGTAAATTTAGGTGCTAATTTGGATGAAAAATATTTATCTGAAGAACTAATAGGATAATTTTTCTTCCAAACTATGTTGCCTTTTTCAAATTCAAGATGTTGGTGGTGGTTTATTATAATATTTCGTTGTAATTTTATGTGCTTTGTAAAGTCGTGATTGTACATCTGAAAAAATTGGGATCAAGGAGCCAATGTTTTCAGCATATACGTCTCTAGGAGCAAAAATTATTTCTTCAGTTAAATCTTTTGTATTGTATATGGAACCACAGGTAACTAATTCACGTCCGAATACTAAAAATGCTGGCGTGAATTTAGTAGTTTCGTTGACGGCAGAGTTGATTGCGAATTGGATTTTATTTAAATATAAATCCCATGTACGGTGATCATCATCAACGAAAGACGAGATTGCTGTAACTATAGTTTTATTATAACGTTCAACTGTATTTACTTGTGGACAGTACCTGGGAGTGAAAAATATTTTGGGTATCTTGTAAAAATTAAATAAATCTTTG